AGGTGGGCGGGGCGGTGGGCGCGGGGCCTGTGGGTGGTGGGTGGGGCCTGTGGGCACTGTGGGCGGGGCCTGTGGGTGGTGGCAGGGGCCTGTAGGTTGGTAGGCGGGGCCTTGGTTGTGGGCGGTGGGCGCGGGGGCCTGTGGGCTTGTGGGCGGGGCCTGTGGGCACTGTGGGCGGGGCCTGTGGGTGGGGCCAGGAGGACCGGCTTAGAGGGCACGGTGGGGATCGAGGTCGTGACGCAGCCGCCAGAGGGAGACTGCAGCGGGCGTGTGGGCAGATGCCCATGACCGCACCCCCGCCCCCTGCCGCCACAGGCCTCATCTGCTTGGGGATGTACCTCATCGCCTTCATTTTCACACTGAACTCCGGCCAGTACTGGCTGTCTCTTCTGGACAGCTACGCGGGCTCCATCCCCCTGCTCGTCATCGCCTTCTTCGAGATGTTCTCCGTGGTCTATGTGTACGGCGTAGACAGGTGGGGGCCGGAGATGGGGGATCCCATGCGGGGCGCGCGCAGGGCCGTGCAAGTGTCTCTTCTGTCTGGCGTGGTGTGGGGGTGGCCTGACCCTGGGAGGGCAACAGAGAGGCCATGAAGCTGGCGCGGGGTGGAGGGGGGGTGTGCAGACGCGCCCTCTGCAGCGTCCAGATGCCTCCCCCCAGGCCTCGGGAAGGACACTGTCAGCAGCATTAGGAGGCAGCCCGGTCTCAGGGCGAGTGGGAGAAGGCAGGACGGTGCACAGGTTTGCTGTGGGCCGAGGGGCTTCCCCAGGACCCCTCCCAGGACCCTGCCTGGAGGATGGAGGGAGCTGGTGTTTTATTCCAGCCCCCACTGCATTGCCGGGCCTGCCCCCAGGGGTGTGAGCAGAGTTCCTCTGCCAGACAGAGGCTCAGGCGAAGACAGGTGGACAAGTGCGGCAGGGTCAGCCATCCCTGGGCCAGTCATTCAGGGCATCACGGATTGGCACTCTGTTCTTAATAGGAGCTGGACTCACCACTGCTCCATAAACGATCTGGTGAATCAATAAGGTTAAATGCACAAGCCTGTGGAGGGGGCCCGTTAAGGCCCCCAGTGCTGGCACCACTAAGAGTGCTGGTGCGGCTGCCCAGGGTCAGAGCCACTGCCCTGCCGAGGAGAATGAGACAGGGAGCTGGACAGCTCCCTTCCTCGGCCCCAGCAGCTCTGCCTGGGGCTGAGGAGCACGCGGCCTCTGACGAGAGTCTACGCATCCAGCCCGGCAGTAGCACCGCAAGATGGCGGGGCTTCCCAGAGACGGCGTGTCTGCCACGATGGATGTGAAAGGCCAGAGTGCAGCATCACAGAGCAGAGACCAGCTCTCCAGGCGTGGGGAGGCTGCCGCTCTCTGCCTTCCTCTGCCTCCGGGACTAAAGGCCCTTTGGCCTCTGCTTCAAGGTTCAACAGGGACATCGAGTTCATGATCGGCCACAAGCCCAACATCTTCTGGCAGGTCACGTGGAGAGTGGTGAGCCCCCTGCTCATGCTGGCCATCTTCCTATTCTTCTTCGTGATCGAGGTCAGGGAAGAGCTGACATACAACATCTGGGACCCAGCCTATGTGAGTCCTGGGCCTCCGGGGTGGGAAGGGGCAGGCTCCCCCTCCTCTGGAAGCCAGGAGGGAATCACGAGGGGTGGGCACATTGCCCTAAGGGAGACCCCGGCTGCCTGGTTGCTCACCCAAGGCCGCTTTCTCTCCAGGAGGCATTTCCCAAATCCAAGGAGATCAAGTACCCGGGCTGGGTGTATGCCGTGGTGGTCATTGTTGCTGGGGTCCCCTGCTTGGTCATCCCCTGCTTCGCCATCTACAAGCTCATCAGGAACCTCTTCCAGAGGCCAGGGGACCAGCGGGCACTTGTCAGCGCAGTGTCTGCGGCCTCAGTGAACGGTGACCTGTGGTCCTAGGCAGCCCAGCCTGTGGGGCGGGGGTGGTGTCTGAGGAGGGAGTGGGCTGCACATGTGTGCACATGTGTGTATTATGTGAGGGTGCATGTGTGGGAGCATGCATACATGGGTGCGTGTGTCTGTATTGTTCATGTGAGTGTGCACATGTGTATATGTGTACGCTGTGAGTATGCACGTGTAGGAGTGTATCCTGTGTGTGGGTATGTCCGTGCATGTGTGGATGTGTGAGTGTGTATACATGTTCATGTGTGGATGTGTGCAAGCATGTGTCATAACGAGGGACATCCTCCTGGCGTGGTCACACACATGTGAGTGTGCACACTGATGTGTATATGTGCACGTGAGCACGTGAGCAAGTGTGTACATGAGCCAGTGTGAGTGTATTTGCATGTGTGTGAGTGTGTCCCAGTGTGCAAGCATCTGTGTACTGTGCCTGTGCTCATGCTTATGTGTGTGTGCACAGCTGTGTGTGTGCATGCGTTGCCTTGCAGCACACACACCTGCTAGCAGGGCCTGGGGAGCAGACGGGTGGTCCATCTCCGCCCCGCTCCCGGAGAGTCAGCTGCCGTGTCGGTGGGGGCTGCTGTGCACGGCCCGCTCATCTCGGCCCCTTGGATCCAGTCTTGGTGCCTCTGCCCTTTCCTCTCGAGGTCCCCTGCAACCTTGGGGTTCTTGCGGTGAGGTTGCGGTTTTCACCCCATGACCAAGAGCACCGTTCTCAGGCTCGTCCAGAAGAGGCCAGTGAGCTTGAGAGAACTTGGCTAGCCCGGTGGGGCCCACCTGTCCGACAGAGTCTTGGCCACACCCGGGCATCGTGAAGGCTGATCTGCTTAATCCCTGCATCTGGCTGCCAGCAATAGATGAGCAGTTAAATAAAACTCAGCTCGGGTGACTTAAGGCAGACCCCCCCAATCACACTTTGTACGTTCTTGAGAGGACATTAACTGCGTGAATATTTAGCCAGATGTTGGAAAAGATGGGTTGTAGGATAACTCAGCCTTGGCCACCGAGGTGGAGGACCGTCCATGCGTCCCGAGAGACATCAGGGACCATGAGGGCAGGGGGACTGTCCACCTGCTGCTGCTTATTGAAGCCGGCGTTGGCGCCTCCCTCCCATGGGGGATGGGATGCCACACCCAACCTGATCCTAAGTTACGTGAACTTGGGTGTTTGTTTCCAAGAACCGGTCACCTCCACTGTCCATGCAAAAATCTGCAAGTTTATGTTAAATTGGACTTTCCGAGGATTCTCTGTGCAGGACCAGAGAGCCAAGTGGTGGGTGGGAGACTCCTGGCCGGCATCCTTGGGACTCACCTCCTGTACTCTCAGAGCTGTCCAGCCCTGTTGGGAAAACTGCTCAGGACCCCTTAGATACACCCCACTCCACCCCCGAGGGGTGGAGACATACTCCCAGACGTGACCTGGGCAGGGCTGGGCCATCTTTCTCTGTCTCTTGGTGAGGGGTTCTTTCACAGACTTGATGTTTTGCAAATTGTTAGAAATTTGGGTTTTGTGGGTGTCGTGTGTACGTGTCTGAATAAATCACTCTCTTTCATAGTCTTGGCCTAAGTGTTGTCTAAATGAGAGGCAGACAAGCTCCAGCCTGAGGAGCCGTGTAGGACTGCAGGTCTGCTGCGTCCACGGAGGGCCCCCGCCCCGCACCACTGCCCCAAGCTCCCGGCGACGTGTGGGGTGGGCCTTGGCCTCTGGTGGGGGCTGCTGGTGAGGCCCCTGGGCGGGGGGACAGGGAAAGGATGGGCCTCACCCGTCACCTGTCTTTCCTCTCCCACTCCTTTCCGTCTGATTCTCCCTTCCTTGGCGGGACCTGCACTTCCGGGGCCCCGTGTTTGGGACCATGCAGCCCGGCTGAGGAGAGTGTCCAAGGAAAGTGAGATTACGCGTAAGGGCCCGGTCCTGCTGCTGGAGGCATCTGCTGGGCGGCGGGGGCGAGGGTCCAGGGAGCCCCCAGAGGGAGGCCTCAGCTGAACCCATCGTGTGGGCTCGTCACCGCTCCAGCCCCCAGACAGGAGGGCACCCGAGCTGAGGGAAGGGCTCACATACCCCCCGAGCCTAGCCAAGCCCCTCCCCATGCCTGGTGTCACCCGCCCCCGTCACCCTCCCAGGGAGCCCCTCGGGGACGCAGGTTGCCATTCCACCACAGCTCACAGTGAGCTCATAGCAGCGAGGATTCCTGGGCTAGGGGCTAGCGGATGCTAAGGGAGGGGTGGTCTTCTGGAACTCATCTGGACATTCTCTGCAGAGGAGCAGCGGGAGCCAGCTGGAAGGGGAGCACTGTGAGTCAGATGGAAGGGGAGCACCGTGAGTCAGATGGAAGGGGAGCACCAGGAGCCAGATGGAAAGGTCACATTCAGACCATCTGAGAGGTCTGGACATCTTTGGAAAATAACTGTGGCTTAAAAGTAGACCTGGCGCCTGGCCTGGCAGTCCTACTCGGGCCTTCGCCCACGTCCACGCGCAATCCCGTTGCAGATGTTTATTGCAGTTCTTCCTCATGGCCACCCCGGTCAGTGCGTGGTGGACACAGAGCCCCACGGGCTATACAGCCGCCTGCCAGGCGGGTCTCCAGAGGCCGAGGCCCACAGCCCAGCTCACACTGTTTCCACGACGTCCCTCCATGGGAGGGACAGCAGAAGCAGGCCGTCAGGGGTGCGGCCACACGAGGGACGGGGGCCCCTCCGGGGATGGCCATGTCCACCGCGTCAGCCTCCATGCTGGTAGCTGCCTGCAGGGTGTCAAGTGGGGGCACATGGGCACTCGGAACCACTCCTCTCAGCCACACGTGTGCCGACTGTTATTCCGGAAAGTTTATTAAGAGTGAACAACGTTTATGGAACAGATAAATGGGCCCCAGCCTTGGAACCCCTGAGGTTCTCGCGTCAGTGGTGGTGGCCACAGACGTCGGGCGGGAACGAGCCGGGGAGGGCTCAGGGTCAGGACAGGCGTGTGGTTGGAGGGGCTGTTACCAATTAACCGGGTCCACTGGTTTTCCTTTAAATCGTGAAAAAGCACGCCCGCGGGGCAGAAGGCTGGTGGCTTCCCACCGTGGCAGAGGCTCCGGGCTATGGCAGGCATGGCAGGCGCCCCGGGGCCCACTCCACCCACGGAGGGTGGCGGGGAGGCGCGGCCAGCCTGGGACAACAAGCTCCAGTACCTGCTGAGCTGCGTGGGCTTCGCCGTGGGCCTGGGCAACCTCTGGCGGTTCCCGTATCTGTGCCAGATGTACGGGGGAGGTGAGCCCCCCAGATAAGCCCCCACCATGGCGTCCAGGGTGTGGGGGACTCCCACCCCGGGGATCTGTCCCCCAGGGCCCAGCTGGCATCAGGTTTGCGGTGCTGCTCAGTAGGCCGCCAGCCCGGGCTCCGTGGGGGGTCAGGGTGCCCGGTCCCCCTCGCCGGCGCTGTGTCCTCACTGGCCAGGCCCCAGAGGGCAGCTGGGGGGCCGTGGCCACACAGGGAGCTGAGATGGGCGCCCAGGCTCCAGCACGACGCCCGCGGCTGCAGCCGGAGCCACTGGGCGGGGCGCCTTGCTCAATGGCCTGCGGCTGTCGGTGTCACGCCTGGTGCTGGGGACAAGAGGCGCAGAGGGGCTCCCCTCGGGGGACGGACGTGGGGTGTGGCTCGCTGTGTCCCCGGGCTCAGGGCAGGGGGCTTCCTGGGCAGAGTCACCCTCTGTGGGGTCTGACCTGAGGCGCCCCCGAGGCCCGCGCACCCGTGTTCGCAAAACTCCCGGCCGAGGCAGGCACGGGTTGAGTGTCCCCTGCGGGACAGCGGCTGTGGCCTCCCGCCTCAGAGACGGGGAGGCTGAGGTGGTGAGGATTCAGCCCATGTTCCGGTCAGCGTGCTGGCAAGGGGTCCTTCCCCTTCATGGGCAGAGAACGCCGGTTCTCCGCCCAAGACGGGTGGGCAGGGGGTCAACATGGAGGGCGGAGCCTGCGTGAGCACCGCCCACCAAGTTCCTGGTCATGCAGACACTGCGTCCTTGAGGTTTCTTTTTCCTGACGATAAGACCTGGGGCGCGTGGGGAGGTCAACGCAGATGAGTGGCAGACAGTCCTCTGGTCATGCAGACACTCGTCCTTGAGGCCTCTTTCCTGACGGTAGGACCTGGGGCGCGTGGGGAGGTCTGAACATGCAGATGAGTGGCAGACAGTCCTCTGGTCATGCAGACACTCGTCCTTGAGGCCTCTTTCCTGACGGTAGGACCTGGGCGCGTGGGGAGGTCTGAACATGCAGATGAGTGGCAGACAGTCCTCTATGATGGCTGCCCTGGCGTCAGAGCCTCCACGGTCCAGGGAGGGGCGGGCGCCTGGGCCCGGGTCTCCCGGCCGCACCTCTGTGACCGCAGCGTGGAAAGCACAGAGCTCTCCGGAACGCCAGCGTGCACCTGAAGCAGGGCGCCCAGAGCCCTCAATGCCCGTCATGTCATGTCAGGGCCTCGGCAAGCCTCCACGCATGGGGCTCTGCCATCTGCAAGCACAGCACTGCCCACAGCCTGACCCGCTGCCCACAGCAGCCGGAGTGGCCGCCTCTCCCTCCATCCAGTCAGCGAGGCCACGGGCATCACCCGCCGTGCCTGGGGCTCTGAGACACGCCTGTAGGATCCAGGATCCAGCTTTCCCGGGCTGGAAGCTGTCGAGCAAACGCCACAAAACAAGCTTCTCATGTGGCGAGAGGCCCCTCTCTGTCTGCTTTGACCACCTCTGGCGCCCCCAAGATGAGGGGGAGGGGACAGGCAGACAGGGCATCTGCTGGTTCACCCAGCAACCCCCTGACGTCAGGACTGCGCCTCCACGTCGTGAAGGGAGGCAGCGTCATCGCACAGCTGAGCAGACGTGACGCAGGGCCGTCGGGGGCGTCACATACACTCCACTCCGCGACGAGCACAGGGGGCGGAAGCACTGTGCCGGGTGCTGACTCTGGCCACTGACCGCAGGGCTCCGACCCGTGCTGTGGCTGGGGGTCCCCCCAGGGAGCTGCAGAGGCCCCGATTCCTGCGCTGCCCTGGAGGTCTGTGGACACTGGTGTGGTTTGGTGCAGAGCCGTGGCGTCCAGCAGAGAGAGTCCTCTCGGCTCTTCCTCTAAGCTGTTGCCACCTTTCCACATAGACTGCAGCCGCGGCATGCCAGCCTGGTGTCCGGCGGGGTGTCCAGCCGCGGCATGCCAGCCTGGTGTCCGGCGGGGTGTCCGGCCTGGCATCCGGCCTGGTGTCCGGCGGGGTGCCCGGCCTGGCATCCGGCCTGGTGTCCGGCGGGGTGTCTGGCCTGGCCCCTGCAGTCTCCGTGGGGCTGGGAAGCAGGTCCCCCCACCACGTGGGCCCCTCTCCCTCCATCCTCCCGTGGCTCTTTCCTCAAGATCACAGGAGTGTTTCTCAGCAGCCCACAGGCCCTTGCCACTGTTCAACCAGAGGTATCTTTTCTTACTAGACTGAGGGGCTGTGTGCCGCACCCAGCACCCCCCAGGCTCTGCCCAGACCCGCGGCAGGTGGGTGGCGGCCGGCCGTCTGATGACTGTGGGCTTCTTGTCACCGGCTCCGCACTGGCCCTTCAGCTCTCAGGGCCGGAGCACCGAATGTGCGAGGCTTTCCCCACAGTGACCGGGCCTCTGGCTCTCTGTGGACGCCGACTGGGTGCCCCAGGACTTAACCCCACTCTGCCCGCAGAGGCTAAGGGCAGCCCCACAAGACGCGCCCCCCCACCTCAGATGCCAATCTGGAGTAGCAGGTCCCCAGGTCACCGTGGCTTCTTCCGATTTGGCTACAAATTCAAGGGGTCCCACAGCCCCTCTTAAGACTCAGCGATTTGCTGGAAAGGCTCACTGGACTGACTCGGGAAAACACTCAGGTCTACAGGTTTTTCATGAAGGGTGCAACCCAGGAACGCCGTCTGGGAGCGATGCAGAGGCAGGGCGGGAGGGCAGGGCCCCTCCTGTTCCTCCGCCAGGCAGGCACCCTTGACGGGACCCTGGGCCGCAGGATGGTGACTCAGTCTGCTGCTGGGGGAGGGTGGGGCTGGGAGTCCCAGGCACGGGGTCGCCCTGCCCCTCCAGCTCCCAGCCTGCGGGGTCAACTGGGTGAGGTTGAAGGGCGTCAACACGCTGCGCCCCTCGCCTGACCCCCCGATACGCCGAGGGAGCTTGGAGGCCCAGCCAGGACAGGACCAGACACTCCTCTCAGTTCAGTGCGGTGTCCCGGATTCGGGACCCCAGCACGGGCTCCACGCCCGGGTGGACCAGCTCTCCTGCCTTCCAGTCCGGCAGAAACACTCCTGCCCTGTGCCACCCCCACCGGCTCCTCCCGGAGTCAGCGTGACGGGCCGGGCGCCCCTCGGACGCAGAGACCCCCGAGCCCGGCCCTCAGCACCCCGGCCAGGTCTGTGGTCTGGGTCCCTGTCCGTGTGGCGGCCGTGATGGGGCTGAAATGTGACTGATGCACAGATGGATGCTGCTCGGCACTGGGTCACAGAAATGCCTCCTGTTCTCTCCCTGGAGCCTGGAGACTCAGCCACAGGCCAGGCCCCCGTCCCTCCCCCACTCCTCTGACCTCTCCTTGGGCCAGACCCTCTCACACTGCCCTCAGCCAGCCCCTGAGGCCTCCATCTGACCTCGTCCAGCTGGGGCCTCCCCCTCAGGCTGGGCAGAGATGGGAGAAGGGGGCCAAGGGTCAGTCAGCCTGGAGGCTGCACCCTTCCCGGATGGAGGCTCAAATGTGTGAGACTCAGGCCCTGGGCGTGTGGCCGTCCCATGCCTGCCTTCACCACGGAGCAAGGTGTGCATCCTGGGGCTCAAGCGTGGCTCGGGAGGGTGCCTCCATCTGTGAGCTGGACCCTGGGTCCCTGGTGACCTCTGCCCACGGCCCCCGCTGCGGGGCCCTCCTGCCCCTGGGAGGCTGTCCTGGGGCCCCTGGGGCCTCCACCTGGGCTGAGTACCTCCAGAACTTAACTTCCTCCTTTGATGCACTTCGCCTTTTTGCTGCTACCTGGGAGATACTGAGACGCGCCGTCTGCCCACATGCTGGCCCCGGGGGCCTGCCGGGCCGACGTGGGCCACGGGCTCCACGGCCACTGGCTCTGTGCAGGGCTCTCTCGTCCACACTTCAGTCGGTGACAGAAGAAGCCAGCCCGGGGCCTTGGCTCGTGGGAGTGGCTCTCGTAGGCCGAACCCACGCTTCCCGTGGACAGCGGGGAGAGCCGTGCCCCCTGCAGCCATGCCGTTGGTCGGGGCCTGATGGTCTGTGCTGTTGTGTTGACCCTGGGGTCAACTGGGCCCGGGTGAGTGCGGGCAGCAGCCGTGGTCAGCCAGGCAGCGCTGAAGCAGCCACACGCGCAGGCCCAGAGCAGGCGGGTTTCCTGGGTCTGGACAGAGGATGTGCGGCTGAGACGCCAACGGCGCACACAGGGCCAATTCCGCTTCTGGGGACTCAGTCCTCCTCCTGACAGTGTGGGAGCGTGCCGTGGGGACCCGCGTCTCCCCAGCAGGCCTGTGGGCTCAAGGACACTAGGCCCCCCGCCACCTGCCAGGACCCACTCTGTCCATGCGGGCTTGAGGTGCAGAAGGGAGCCGCTGTGTCTGCCTGCCTGCCTGCCCTCGGGTTCTTCCCAAGAGGCAGCTCCATCCGAGGCGCTCACCACCCAGGCCCACCCTGCTGTGTCCACTCCCAGCGTCCGGGCAAGGGTGAAGGGTTGGGAGGGGTTTCTAACCCCAACCCAGGGTGCAGCTTGGGGGACCTCTGGTGACCCTGTCCTGCAAGGCCCCGCTGTAAGCAGACCAGCTCCCCATCCCAGGAGCCCGGGAACCAGAGGTGTCAGGGTCCCAGTGAGAAAGCAGCTCAGCCCACGTGTCAATGGGAACCCCACACAGCCCCAGAGGGTGGGGGACACATGGCCACAGAGGGTGGGGAGCCATGGCTTTAACACAAGCAAACCCCCAACGTCGGGCGGTCTCCCTCGGCGGCCATGAGAGCTTCTGCTCACCACTGCCAGCACCCATGTCACACTCACCGAGGCCGGGCCGTGCGCACAGCCCACTGACAGCCACGTGTCTGCAGGCGCCTTCCTCATCCCCTATGTCATCGCCCTGGCCTTCGAGGGCATCCCGCTGTTCCACATCGAGCTCGCCATCGGCCAGCGCCTGCGCAGGGGCAGCATCAGGGTGTGGACGGCCATTTCGCCCTCCCTGGGCGGCGTGGGTAGGTGCCCCCATGACCCCCACTGCAGCTGCTCGGTAGCGGGGGCTGCGTCTACACATGCCATGCGTGTTTGCTGGGTGTTCACTCGTCACGCCAGTGCACGCCTGGTGGCTCAGAACCTGGAGGAGCCCAGTCGGGAAGGTGCAGGGGTCCCGGGCACACAGGTCCCTGACGGAGGAATCAGGCGTGATGGTGGAGGCAGGGGTCCACCCCAGAGGTGGTCAGCAGAGACTGACCCACGTTGCCCAGTCTGTGCACGCGGGGCCCTGAGTGCATGGGACCCAGGACCTCACGGCACCTGGGGAGACTGCACAGAGGGCAGAGCTGGTTCCCCACGTGCCCGTGAAGTGGGTTCTGCTGCAGAGGGTCCCCGCGTCGCCATGCGGGACTGTGCCACACCTGGTGGCTTTGGGCTGTCCGAAGGCCCAGCTGGAAGCAGGCCGAGGCTGGGGGAGGACCACTGCGGCCCAGCCAGGAGGGCGCCGCCCGGCCGGAGAATGAGGGTGGCCCGCGGGCGATGCAGCCGGGTGCCGGCCAGCAGGCGGGCAGCAGGGCCCTCGGGGCCGACGCAGGGCAGACCTGGGCTGTGCGCGAGGGGGCCGTAGGGCAGCCGAGGGAGGCGCTGACCGTGCCGGGCCCGCAGGGCTGGGCTGCTTCACCGTGTCCTTCCTGGCCAGCCTGTATTACAACATGGTCCTGACCTGGGTGCTCTGGTACCTCCTCAACTCCTTCCAGCACCCGCTGCCCTGGAGCGCCTGCCCGCCCGACCTCAACCGCACAGGTACTGCGGGCGGGCGAGACGCCCAGCGCGGCCGGTTCCCTGGAGCTGGGTCCTGCTGCCCCGCGGTTGCCCATTTGCAGTGGGACCCCGGGCCCCGGGCGCCCCATGCCCTCACCAAGTAACACCCAGGCCCCCGCAGACGTTCACACACCTGGCAACGACAAGCGTGCGGGCCGGCCGCTCATCCCCCTGAATTAGGTCTTCAGGGGGCCCCCCGCCAGCCCAGGGCGTGTGCCCTCTGCAGGGACCTCAGGTGTGGGGCGTACTCACGGTTTTCAAGTGTGCTCGTGACACCGGGTGGGCCTCTGTCCCCGAGGGCCCCCTGTGCCAGCTCGTGCTTGGCACCTGCCAGACAAGTCGGGCAGCCTCAGAGGCCCCCGGCGGCCAGCCCCGGGCCCGCTCCCAGGGTGGCGGGGTCCTGCCGGGTCCCCGCGGCCCGCGGCCCACCCGTGCGGGCCCCCCCGGCCCCAGGGCTCGTGCAGGAGTGCCAGGGCAGCAGCCCCGTGAGCTACTTCTGGTACCGGCGGACCCTGAACGTCTCGGCCGACATCAGCGACAGCGGCCCGGTCCAGTGGCGGCTGCTGCTCTGCCTGGCGGCCTCCTGGGCCGTCGTGTACCTGTGCGTCATCAGGGGCATCGAGACCACCGGCAAGGTGAGCGCCGGCGCCCCCACCCCCCACCCCCCA